GGGAAGGGCCCGGTAGGAGTATCACCATCTCGACCTGTCCGTCAACTGGGTAGTTTGTTGGAGGCAGCTGAATCCTGAAAGATTGCTCTGTTTTTGAAAACTATCCATCTGCATTGCTCTGCAATCAATTCGAGCAGCTTGTTCCTGGCGCTGGCGAAGGATGCCAGCTTAGAATTGCAGTGGGCCTGTGAGGGTGGAGTTGAGGACTTTTTGTTAAGTTCTGACGGGGGCACCCAGGGTAGATCTGTGCAGAAAGTCATGTTCCCGGTGGGTTTCGGCCAGGGCTAGCAGTTCACACATGCTGAGTTCTTGCGGCTCAACTGAATCACAGAGACCCCAGTTCTAAAGTCCGAGCTTTGCCTGCCAGAGGTTGGCGTACCGAGAGGCTCAATGGATTTTTTTGGATTGGCACCAGCATCAAAATCCGGATTCCAGATGACATTTCTGGCAGGTGAGGTTTCGACGCAGCGTGTCTTTCCAAATCTGCAGGGCAGCGGAGAAGCATCGAATCAGCCAAGCAAGGGGCTAGTAGCACGGTTTGGGAGCATCGCTTAGACATGTTGTGTGCATTCCGTAATTCCCGCAGTTTCCAGTTCTCTGCTTCCAAGGAAATCCTCGAGACTGTGCTACATGTAGTTTATGCGCTACTGATGGTGCGATGAGTCCTTGGATGCAGGGCATATAATGTAATGCTACTTCCCATGATCGCGGGAAGTTTGTCCGCGCCTGAATCTCTTTCCACCGTTCTTGACTAGTGTGCTTTCCCAAGATCAGCGGAAGATCCAGCAAGTCAATAAGAGGAACGATGACATGGAAATTTCTCATGTTATGCTTGATCAACCTCCGCATCTGGGCAAGACCAGCAACAACTGTTGCAAGTGGAGATCAAGCTACGCGTGCGGCAGAGTTTCTGCAGCACGCCGCAGTCAGCCACACCTGGGTGCGAATAGACTGCAAGTGCAACAGAAAGGTTAGGTCGAAGATGCTGAAAGCAGTTATGACCTCTTCCACCAAGTCACTAAGTTGATGTGCTGAGCATGTTCCTCGTGAAGCACCACTCACCAGTGAGGCAATCGTGACCATTCTGGGCTCTTGCTGTTTGGGAAGCCTGTCACTTGCGTCTGTTTGCTTTGCTTGTTCCATGATTTGGCAAGCGAGGGTGTCGAGAAAGTCAGACAGTCGCCAAGCAGTGCCTACTAGACTAAACGCCAAGACACCACCGGCCCGAAGATTCGGTGGATCGCCACCGCGTCAGAAATTAAACACAAGCAAGGATATGGGATCAATTCCGTGGGCGCAAGACTACTGGATCAAAGGTTGGTGGCAGTGGCATGGCATGTTGTGGCCAGCTACAGCTGAACTCTTTGAGCGAGGTTGGCTTGATGAGCCTTGCTTGATTCGTGTACAGGCGTCAACATGAGATCACGAATGCGCAAGTTTAGCAAATGTTCTAGCTTGACTAGAAGACAAGAAAGTTGGCTGAAGGAACTAATTTGAAGTCGGACGAGCATCGAGTGTTTCAAACATAAGGAAGTAGAGACCATTGTCCGGCATTGAAATCACAGCGATGAAAGGAAAGCTCTGCATTGTTCTGATGACCACCTCGTAACCCGCAAATACGACATGATGCGGGTGGCCCTTGGCTTCTTCGGTGTCTCATCTAAGACGCTGAACATAGCTGCAACCGAACTCTTGTGCCATTTGCCCTCAGAGGAGCACGTAAGTTCGGGGTGACAGGCCTGCGAATACTGTCATACTAGGCGGTAGCATGTTTTCCGGCATTCGTACATTTGGGACGTCTGTGAAAACAATGGAGAAGACCTTGTCTGGGTTCCATCGTTTCTTGAAAGCTGCGGTTAGAGTTTATGTTTGGGCTTCCATCATTCATTGATGTTTTTCAACAGATTTCGGCCGATTGGACGCTTATCTTCGATATGTCGTTGCGGTTCTGACTCTGGCTTCAGTTCCTCACAGGTGTCATACAGATCGCTGGTTGTAATGCCACTACCCAAGCAGATTGCAAGACTTTGGCAGACGGCTCTGACCAGCCACCTCCGCTATTTCATGGCAGTCGTTTGAGCTGCTTTCGCTTTTCTCAGACTTCGTCTTGAGAGAGTAGAAGCCTAGAGAGATGCCTAGAATGTCCTAGAGCCAGAACACTGGAGCTGGCACCGTCGAGTGCTGCTGAAAACCCTCTGCACTGCTGACCTCTTCGGCCTCATTTCAAAAAGCGGTTCCGTGCCGACGGCTGAAGAGCTGGACTGACAGCACGCTGCAGCATGCTGTATCCAAGCAGAACATGTTTGCAGAAGCACGTTTTCTTGTTTATTGATCTGGCTGCTGCAGCAAACCTTGCGTTGATGTTTGTAGGTGCTGCGACCGTGCAATGGCGCGGGAGAGTGTAACCGTGGAGTAGAGGTTGTTCCAGGGTTGGTTGCAACAAGCAGTAGGTATTGTAGCAATTGCAAAACATGCTGGCCGTGGTCTGCAAGAGTGGCAGGTTCAACTTGCTGAGAGAGCACAATGAGGGCTACGCCAGGTTGTCGGACCCTTGGTTTTCGTGCCTATGTTTCCGACATCTGCAGATGTGTTGCAACCTTCCCGTGCTTTCATTCAAGCAGTCGGTTCTGGAATACTGTCGTCATCTATTTACAGGTCTGTGGACTGGATGAGCTCTGCAAGATTCTCCTGTCTTTCGTGCCCTTGCCAGGATCATGTACATAGACCGGCTGCTCCACTTGGAGATGGATGTAGAGGCCAACTATTGCAAGGGCTCTTACACAGGCAGTCAGGACTTGAAGATGAAGCCTTTGAGAGTTGATGCGAGCATAGACAGGGGGGTTTCCGAATATCGGGGACCCCAATATAGTACCCTAAATAGTAGGATCATTATTACAAGGACCCCGAAATACAGTACCCCTAATTTTCGGAAACTCCCATATGGCCGCCTGGGGATTTGCCACAGGAGAAATCTTGAACACAGCCGGGTAAGATGCATGAAGCATGCTCCTTATCCTACATAAAACCAAGGTGTGCAGGTACCAAGTACATTCGTAAGCATACAAGCATGTGTCCTAAGGGTTTTTACAGGGGAATGTATGGACATGCCGTACAGTCTGCTGTTGAAACAAGCGTGGCTTGCACAGGGCACGGCTGAGCAACTCACAAAAACACGCGAGAGCGTGATCGATGATGCCGGATCGCCCAGTCTGCTGCAACGATGCAGTGCTTTTGTAACGGCCTGCCTGGATCGGGTGCAGTGCAGTGCTGCGCATTCTCCGAGGTCATGCTGTTGATGGGCTACAGCTACCTTTGTCCGAACAGGCACCGCAACGCAGTGGACAAGTTGGGAGTCAGGTCTGGATCTTCTGGTCTTGTAGCCAGTGGAAGACTTACGGCAAGGATCATCGCGATGGCCATCGACATCTACGAGCGCATCATCATTGAGGAGGCAGGGATGGGCATGGGTAGCTGGCAGAGCCAGGATGGAGGGGAAGCTGGAGCACGAAATCACAGAGTCGAAGTCTGTTTGCTCTCTCCTTGACAAGTTACTGGTAGGCCGAGCCGAGCAAGAAGCCTCAAGCCATCGCCAATGGCTCGGTTTGCAGCGGGATTTCTGCAGCTGCTTACGGTTTTAGCGATGATGTCGCAGCACCTGTTTTGCGAGAAGTTAGATCGGTTGTCGCGAATGCCTGTAGCTACTGCCGAGACACGGTCTTGCCGGTGGCTGTGTGGAAGAGAGTGAGTCGGCGCATTCTTGGATGTCTCAGTTGGCGCTGCTTCGCCGGTTCAGCCGCGACCGAGTCTCCAAGGCTCACCATGAGCTGACATGTTGAAAACAGAGGTTCAGGTGAAGCTTGACCAGGGGAGCTAAAGGCTGTATCTGGAATGTCTATCCTTCAAGCATCCTGTTGAGATTGAACATCCTCGGTATGTTGTTCATGTGTGGAGCGAAGCGGGAAGTCGCACGTGCTAGGACCAAGTTTTCCAAGCCCTGGATTTCTATCATTGTAAGGACCGGCAAACGCTTCCCTTGCTCTTTTGCGAGGTCGCGTCATTCCTGCTGCATCCGGGACAGCCCCCGGCAGCAGCAGTCGGAGGCAAGCAGCGTTGACTGAGAAGCCGTCTTTGTTCGATGCATGTGATTGCATGTCTGACAGCTGTGGGGATGCTCCAGAAGTGCATGGAGAGAGTGTCTCTTGCCATCTTGTCTGCAGGCAAAGATGCGAAGCCACCCGAGCCAAACGTCAGGAGCAAGCAGGGATTGAGTCAGACAGTCCTGGCTTGGCTGCATTGGGGCAAGTTGGGGCAGAAAGTTGCTGTGAGTTGGAGCTAAGTTCTTTGCGGCCAAGTCGGGTAGTCGGCCAGAAACCCCCCCGAATCAGGGAATCGGGGCCGACTCGGAGAGGGACAAACTGCAATCGACGAAAGCAGATCGGAGAACGGCGGCGAAGAGTCAGGAATCAGCAATGAACATATCGAATCTGCGAATGGTCAGAGCGAGTCTAGCAGATTTCGATAATTTTAACGCTACGCCGCCCGCCTCGGCTGTGTAGCGGGCGAGGGGGCAGTCGATGTTTTTTTATGCTAGGGCGGCCTGTCAAATCAGGTAAAATGAGGGGAAGCCGGGCAAGGGGGTGGCAAACGAACGCAAAAAACGGGTGTCCCCAAACATTGATTAGGTGGAGGGCACCTGAGGTAACCTCCAAGACGCCTGGGCCTCTGGCCTCGGCGGATAGTATACTGCAAAAAAAGTATGGCACCAGCCCTAGTCCTGGCGGCTCGCCTCCCTGGAGGGCGTCGCAGTTCGTGGCCACCGCTTCGCTGATCTCCCTGGGCCTGGTGGACTTGAGAGCCGAAGCCCAAGAGAGTCTCGAGAGCCCAACTATACGATACTATGCTTTGCTTTATAGTATAGAGTATAGTCTATAATTGTATGGTTTAGTATGAATAACATGGTATGTGGGGCGCGACTTGTATCTTTCGCTTCGAGCTTCCGTGTGAGCAGCCACGATCGTTTCCCGAGCTCAGCCTGTCTAGCTCTTCAGATGGTGTGGTCCTACTTGGAGCCAAGCGAAAAGAAGATCCAGGAGTCGGTGTGCTCAGCTATTTCCGAGCATTGCCTCATTGAAGTGTTTCGTCAAATGCCACCTGCGCAAGTTAAGATTGTTCGAAAAGTGTGCTCACAGCAACCCGCTACCCATGCACGGTTGTCTAGGGCGTGGTCTCACCTGAACTTCAGATACGAGGCCGGGTCAGGCGGAGCTAGTGCGGCTGTCACGAAAGCCTGCTGCAGGCCAAGCTGAAGACCGTGAGTGTCGTGGACCTCAGCGGAAAGCAAAACCTTGCACGGGACAGCCGGTGCACTCTGCACATGCCTGGCCGCTTCACGATCGTGTGTGAGCACGGTGACGGTTAGTGAAGTGCACTTCTCTGTGCAGCCACTCCTGGGTCTGTTCTTTCATTACGAGGGCAGACTTTACCATGGTCACCCGGTTCTTTGTTCACAACTGTGTAGGATGCGTTTAGTCCTCAATCTGCAGTCGCTACAGCAAGTTGGGTCACATAAGCAACTCTGGCTCCTCTCGCTTCCTGTCAGGATAAACGCTACTTCAATGGCTGTGCGAAGGCCTTTGTGGGCAGAAGCTGGATGTTGGCAGTGTCCTTCCATGTTTTCATCTCTGCTTAGGGCCTTTGCAGGTTTGAAGCAAACAGTTATGCACTCTTGACTCTCCTGTGCTTTCAAGAGAAACATCAACGTCTCGCGCAGAACTTCAACCTCATGCTGAATCAGAAGATCCGGCTGGTGGAGGCGATGATAAGTATTAATGTCGAGGCCCTGGAGTGATGAGTTTCATTGGGGAAGCATGCGGAAGCACTTAGAGGAGTCGATGTCCCGCTTCATGCTAGAAGTACCTCTCAGTTGCTGAGGATTGGTGCAACGCCTGCGTGATGCTGACGCAGCTCCGCAGGTTCGTTGCAATGATGATTCAAGGGTGGGGCCGGGGCTTGAGAATGGACATGCCGTGTCAGAAAGTGTTGTGACGTGGGTGCAATTGCACCTGCATGTGCTCATGCCACCTCCTGTCGTTGCTTCATTCAGCCCTGCGGCGGCAGGATCTGCCGCCCCTGCATGAACCACTACATTCGGCAAGCTCTGCCACTGGCTTAGCTGTCTCCGTGCCGCCCTTTTCAGTTCGGTGATGGCCCCTTTTTCATCTCCGAAGGATGAATCAGGTGCTGCGGCTTTTTCGTCTATTTTCGTATTAGGACGATACCAGTTCCAATGTTTGTGCAGCGCTTGGCTTGCATCGTCGGCATGCTCCCCGCGCAAACACCTGACAAGCAACGCTGCCACTGTGCAAAGGTGCGACCTGCTGAAGCCTTGCTCTCGGTTCTTGGCATTTATTGCAAAATCCCTTGCGGGTCCAAGATGGGTTTCATCTGTTCGGCTCCCGTGTCACTGAATACGTCGTTTGGCCAGGACGCGAGCTTTGTGTAAGCCAGTTGAGGTGGATCATCGAGCCTTTGCTTCCGAAGTCGCAGCAAGGCTGGCGGAAAATCCGGTGTTTTGTGCGGCAGACAGCCATCCATCCGGTCGGCTGTGACTCAACAGCAGCTGTACCTTGAGATGTTTCAGAACACTCTGCGAAAGGTATACCTCGCTACAACAAGCCTGGTACCCAGCCTGATAGCATCATGTCTCGCATGTATGGACAGAAACTTCCCGAAAGCCTTGAAGTAGATGGCGCCTTGTGCCTTCATCCCATTTTATCCGCCCTACATCTTCCTCTCAGGGACATCCGACGGTTTGCGTGGGGTGTGGCCATGCTGCCGGCAGGCTTGCTGCACGTCCGTGGTTTTTGATGCTTGCTGATATTTTGATGACTCACGCCGCTGGTTGGCTTCAGACTCTGCCGTGGCCGTACTCGGCGCGCGTGTGGCCGAATGCAAGGAAACAGCTTAAAACAATTGATGTGGAAGGTGGTGGCCCTGTTCCAGGGCACCTCCGGCAGGCCCCATTTTTGCAAAATGCCTGTGGGCCGCAGTTCCGCAGTCCCTGCGGCCCACTTCCCAACAAGTTCCGCTCCGATTTTTCTGCGTTCCGATGCAGGCCGTGGACCTGCAGGACTTCCTGCCAGCCTGCAAGCAGGCCAGCTGGGCACGGGCGGCCGGGGCCAGGAAGGACGTGAGAAAAGGGGTTGTTGATAGAAGATGGTGTTTTTAAAACTCCGGCCTCGCTTAGGTCGTCTGGGGTCTGCAGTCAGGACTGTTAACACTAGAGCGTGGTGACGGCACCGCTCCCTGTGTGCTGTGTCGTAGCCTGCAATGTGGGCTACTTCAGCCTGCAACTCAAATCTAACCGACCCGCTCGCCCTACCGAGCCGTTGAGTTGGCATCTCCTCCGCAGGTGCTTGATCACTTGGAGTACTACATGCACACAGCAGCTCGGCCGATCTGCCCTCCTCTTGTGCTGCTGAGACCGCAATGTGCGAACTCCGGGCAACCCAAGGACAATGCTTTGTTAACTTGCATGTGGCAGGCGCATGGGCCGGTGTCTGGGTCGGTAGGGTTGTACAGGGCCTGCGTTCATGAGCACTCAGTGGTTTGCATACTTTTGCCACAGGTGGGTTTTATGAACTAACTTGCAGGAGTGAGCAATGCCATGAACATGCAAAGGGAGGCACTGAACTGTAACTGCCCTTGCAGGTCATTGCCTTGTCGCTCAAGCTGGCAGCCTAGCCATCAGTGATCCAGTCATGACACCTCTCTTTGTTGCCGACGCATACCGCAGCTCAAGCCACCCTGTCTTGTCAGGGAGATTCCGGAAGGCAGCAACACCGCCATGGCTGCGGCATCTGCGAATAGTGGTGGACTTGGCCAGGGAGGGAAGTGGAAAGCAGGGAAGTGTGGCGTGAATGGGAAGCCCGGAGCGCCAAGGCGCAGCGCCTTCCAATCGCACCCTAGACGACAAGCCACTTGTCAACGAGAGTGGGTTGAGTACAGCGTCGTAATGTTAAGAAGATGGTCATGGATGGTCCAGCAAGCCCTTGCAGTGCTTGGATATTTCTAGCCATCCCATGCAAGTTCTCCAGGCTAGTGGCCATCATCTACAAGCACCTGCTCCCAGCCATTTCCATAGCCAAACACTCAGCGAGAAAGGTGGAGAGTTGCGCTCTGTCCTAGCAGCTCGCAAGTCCACGCCTGCGATCCGTTCATGCTTTTGAGGCCAAGCCCAACCCCTTCTTAAGCAGCGTGGCGTCGGACACTTACTGAAGGGCTGCCCCTGTTGGAGGTTGATGTCAGAGTGTAGACTTCAAGCCGGCGAGCGAGAGTTCGGTGCAACCAGGTGGAATGTGCTGAAGCAGCTGACAGTCTTCCAGAGATATATGATCTATAGCTGTTGGGAGACGAGGCCTGCACGTTTTGACAAGTCCAAGGGTCAGACCGCGATGGAAATTCGGTATCGAGTATGTTGGCATTCTCAATGAGTCGTCGAGGCGCTATGTGTTGGAAGGGTTGGGGAAGTTTGAGGTCATAAGCAGCTTGTAAAGAGGCACGCGCGGCCATGCATGGAGGTGTCGATGGGGAAAACCGTAGGTGGCAGGGGCTGCAGGCATTGTGCACATGCTCCTGCTTCGCGCAGGTATAGTCAGTTCATGCTGAAGTACAGCTGGGAAGAAGCGAAGTTTGAAGCCAAGAAGGCGTGTGGAGCGATTTGACTCCTGCAACAGCTTGCAGCTCTTGGTAAAAAAGTCTGTTTGCTTCAATGTCAATCTCGTCCTCGGTCTCCAGATCCTGAAGCGGGTCGTTTCCAGCGACAAGACAAGCGAGCGGGATCGAGAAGATCCCAATGTCTACAGGCCGGGACGCCGGGATGTGTCGGCCGTTTTGAGAAGTGCAAGACTGGAGGCCTCACCCGGTCTTCTGCCAACTCTGCAAGGTACTCAGAGGCGCATAGGCATCACGGATGGAAATGAGTCGATTTCCTGGAATCCTCCCGGCTGGCTTTGCAAACTTTGCATCACTTTCGGCGGTTCCAAGCCAGTAGCTCCTGCTGTACGTACATGCATGCATGCATGCATGCATATCTCTCGGTATGTATGTACGTATGTACGTATGTATGTAAGAACGTACGTACATACGTATGCAGTATGTATGTACGTACGTATGTACGTGTGTATGTATACTGTATACACAAGGAACACGCATTGATATGTCAATTCATACATGTCTCTCTCTCTCTCTCTGTTTGTGTGTGTTAGTGGTCCTTGGTGTATATACACGTGTCCACTGCAAATCCAATTCGCGTGCATTTATTGCAAGCTTCAAGCTTCGAGGCCAGACAAACCCTATCCCCATCGTGGAGGTGATGCTGAAGGATACCTTCCCGTGCCGCGAGGGATGTGAGAGACTTCTAGAGCCCCGCACGTATCAAAGCTGAATTGCAGCTGACAGGTTATTTGCGGAGTGTACGTAAACAGATTCAGCAAGTGCTGATTCGACGCCGCCCAAGTAAGGAATTGAACTACTTTTTTGGAGATGCAAGGGACATAACCGGTGGTTGAGAAAGCAAGCGATCTAGAATGTGCACCGTTGAAACTGCAATGCAGCGGCTGCAGCTGAGAAACTGTGATCTGACAGCGAGTAGACGGGGGTCACAGCCCAGTGGTCACGGAGGGTTTCCGAGGGATGGTTCTATCTCGCAGGCTACACATCATGTGATAGCTCCGCACACATTGCATGGGCTGACACCTTTCGATTGTGAGACCCATCCGGTATGAAGTTGCCGCCAGATGGGATCAGTCTTACCACGTTCTTTGCGTAATGCGATGCAATGGTCTAAGTTTGGAAGTGCCCAGCTGCAAGCTTGTCAACAGGACATTGAGATCGGCTTCAACGTCAACATGATCCAGCCGTGCCTCATTGGAAGATGATAAGTCCTGCAAGCAAGTTGTGAATGCAACAAGGGTGCTTTGCGCAAGAGTGATCGGCCGAAGCAGGAAGAAAGCCAGGTTGCGATCACGGCAGGTACGTGGACTTGACGTCCCGCTGCTCCGAGATGATGACGGACGTCGTTGGTGGAGCTTGCTGGTTGCATAGCGGCGCAGCACCGGTAATTGTGACATTGGGCGGCCATCCCTGATGCACCTGGCTTTGGCACCAAGCCGTGATGGGCCTGACATGTGTACATGAGGGACTCTGTTCATCCAGAGTCGGTTACGCACCAGAGCTGAAGATCATTTCCTGCGATGCAGCATTCCGGACAACGTGCAGGCTCCGGTCAAGGGGTACGTTGCTTTGCATCCTCACGTCCTCTTCTCTGTGCGACCGAGAAATGCGCGATACCACTCGATGTGCATTGTCTGGGTCACGCAAAGGACGCCATCATGAACATCGTGACTCATATGTGCACTGGGCAATAGGGGAAACAAGCATCGCCGAAAGGCTCTCAGCACATCTTGACACTTGGATGCGGTGCTGCGGCCGACAAGTGTCGCGACAGTCGTCTCCAGGGGCGCCACTTCCAGGGTGCACGCGCGCCCGTGTCCAAGGTGCACGCGCTTCTGTGTCCAACCTGCACGCGCAGCGCTGGAAACCTGCGCAGGGCCGAGTCATCCTGCCTGCGCCGGGTACGCCCACCCCCCGTGTCCAAGCTGCACGCGCAGCGCGGGAAACCTGCGCAGGGCCGAGCTTTCTTGTAGCCGGAGGCCATGCAAACACAGACAGAAAATCCATGCCAATGTAGACCAAAGTGCTGGAAACCTGCGCAGGGCCGAGTCATCCTGCATGCGCCGGGTACGCCCATGCACCCCCCCTCGAAGCCGTGTCCAAGCTTAAAATCCATACCAACGCAGACCAAAGTACTGGAAACCTGCGCAGAGCCGAGTCATCCTGCATGCGCCGGGTACGCCCTCCCCCCGCGTCCAAGCTGCACGCACAGCGCGGGCAACCTGCGCAGGGCCGAGCTTTCTTGTATCCGGAAGCCATGCAAGAAACCTGCGCAGGGCCGAGTTATCCTAGAAAATCCGTGCCAATGTAGACCAACTTCTGCAAGTACACACGAAATCCTTCTAAGAATTCAGCAAATTATAGTGTATTTTCTGTGGCTAACCTGCCCGCGCAGTGCTGGAAAGCTGCGCAGTGCCAAGTGATCCTGCATCTGCCGGGCATGCCCACGCCCCTCGAAGCCATGTCTAAGCTGCACCAAAATGAAGGGGGTGTGTTTAAGAAATAAGATAACCGGAATCGCCAAATGAGGGGGTGTGTTTAAGATATAGGATAACCGGAATCGCCAAATGAGACGGTGTGTTTAAGAGGTCAGTCGCCAAATGAGGAGGTGTGTTTAAGAAATAAGATAACCGGAATCGCCTAATGAGAGGATGTGTTTAAGATATAGATAACCGGAATCGCCAAAATGAAGGGGGTGTGTTTAAGAAATAAGATCACAGGAATCGCCTAATGAGGGGATGTGTTTAAGATATAGATAACCGGAATCGCCAAAATGAAGGGGGTGTGTTTAAGAAATAAGATAACCGGAATCGCCAAATGAGGGGGTGTGTTTCAGATATCGGATAACCGGAATCGCCAAACGAGACGGTGTGTTTAAGAGGTCAGTCGCCAAATGAGGGGGTGTGTTTAAGAAATAAGATAACCGGAATCGCCTAATGAGAGGATGTGTTTAAGATATAGACGCCAAAATGAAGGGGGTGTGTTTAAGAAATAAGATAACCGGAATCGCCTAATGAGGGGATGTGTTTAAGATATAGATAACCGGAATCGCCAAAATGAAGGGGGTGTGTTTAAGAAATAAGATCACCGGAATCACCAAATGAGGGGGTGTGTTTAAGATATAGGATAACCGGAATCGCCAAATGAGACGGTGTGTTTAAGAGGTCAGTCGCCAAATCAGGGGGTGTGTTTAAGAAATAAGATAACCGGAATCGCCTAATGAGAGGATGTTTTTAAGATATAGATAACCGGAATCGCCAAAATGAAGGGGGTGTGTTTGAGAAATAAGATAACCGGAATCGCCTAATGAGGGGATGCGTTTAAGATATAGATAACCGGAATCGCCAAAATGAAGGGGGTGTGTTTAAGAAATAAGATAACCGGAATCGCCTAATGGGGGGATGTGTTTAAGATATAGATAACCGGAATCGCCAAAACGAAGGGGGTGTGTTTAAGAAATAAGATAACCGGAATCGCCAAATGAGGGGGTGTGTTTCAGATATCGGATAGCCGGAATCGCCAAATGAGACGGTGTGTTTAAGAGGTCAGTCGCCAAAATGAAGGGGGTGTGTTCAAGAAATAAGATAACCGGAATCGCCAAATGAGAGGATGTCTTTAAGATATAGATAACCGGAATCGCCAAAATGAAGGCGGTGTGTTTAAGAAATAAGATCACCGGAATCGCCTAATGAGGGGATGTGCTTAAGATATAGGATAACCGGAATCGCCAAATGAGACGGTGTGTTTAAGAAATAAGATAGCCGGAATCGCCAAATGAGGGGGTGTGTTTAAGATATAGGGTAACCGGAATCGCCAAATGAGACGGTGTGTTTAAGAGGTCAGTCGCCAAATGAGGGGGTGTGTTTAAGAAATAAGATATAACCGGAATCGCCTAATGAGGGGATGTGTTTAAGATATAGATAACCGGAATCGCCAAAATGAAGGGGGTGCGTTTAAGAAATAAGATAACCGGAATCGCCTAATGAGGGGATGTGTTTAAGATATAGATAACCGGAATCGCCAAAATGAAGGGGGTGTGTTTAAGAAATAAGATCACCGGAATCGCCAAATGAGGGGGTGTGTTTAAGAAACAAGATAACCGGAATCGCCTAATGAGAGGATGTCTTTAAGATATAGATCACCGGAATCGCCAAAATGAAGGGGGTGTGTTTAAGAAATAAGCTAACCGGAATCGCCTAATGGGGGGATGTCTTTAAGATATAGATAACCGGAATCGCCAAAATGAAGGGGGTGTGTTTAAGAAATAAGATAACCGGAATCACCAAATGAGGGGGTGTGTTCAAGATATAGGATATTCGGAATCGCTAAATGAGGCGGTGTGTATATAGGAAGCGCAAATGAGGTCTGTGTGCGCCTTGGACGGTCCGTGTGTGCGCCTTGGACGGTCCAAACCTTCAGCCTAGACCGTCCAAGGTACACGCGCCTAGGCCGCATCCGCAACCGGAGAAAGCTGTGGTTGAGAACTTTTTTCTGAATCGGAAAGTGCTGAATCCCTAGCAAAAAACAATGAATTGGAAGCCATGTGTGCGCCTTGGACGCGGGAAAGGCTGTGCGCAGGCGCGTGCGCCTTGGACGCGGGGACGCGTGCGCCTTGGACGTGCTGGCCCCCGGCACCCCACTCTGCAATCCCGGCCTCTGACCTTCAAAGACCAGATTCTCCGGTAACTTTCAGGGGCAAGGCCTATATGAGTTTCGAAATGTCGTGCTGCAAAGCTCGAGATCTTGCGTGGCTGCTCTCTAAATCCAAGCCGAAGCCCGATTTGTTTGACCCGGCCAGGCTACGTCCTGTCGCGGAACTGCGAACGTCACACGGCTGAAGTAGACTGCCGCATCTGTTACCCAGATCTGTGCAAGCAAGCTGACCTTGTGCAAGATGGCTGAGCAACCACCGCTTCCACATAAATCAGAGCCCTAAGGTCCCGCTACGGAGACGAAGGTGTTCTTCTCCCCGGTGCGGTTGCCGGAGTTTGCGATTTGCTGATTTCGATCTTGTTCTACCATGTCATATCATGTCATTGAGAAGCCAGGCTGACGGACTCATTTCACCCTGGCTCAGCAACTTTGCGGACTTTATCGGCGACCTGTCTGCACTTAGGTTTCGAACAGGCTGAGTAAGGTGGAGAGGCTAGCGCTCATGCCTCTCAAATGCTTCGGGCCTGAAGATCGGTTGCAATTCGTGTTCAGAACCTGCCGGTGTGATCCAAGGTCGCTTCTACAAGAGACACCCGCACACAAACTTGGTTGCAATGCTTCTCGTGCTTGCGCCGGAGGCTAAGATTGTGTGTATCGTCGTAATGGTAACTGCTACATGCATTCGTGTTTGCTTCCATCCTTTAACTTCTACAGGCCGGGTTTCGTCGTTTTGGTGCTATTTGCAAGTTTATAGGGATTGTTTTGGGTCTAGCAGGCTTTTGCAAGGCTTTCACAGTGTTTAAGCTTTAGGATTTCCGAGGACACGGGGTTTAGACTTTAAGTTTTAAGGGTAGAGGATAGGCTGAGGGTTGCAGGTTTCGCACTTTAGGGCCCGTGGCCGTGTCAGGCAAAGAGAGCACAGTGTTCAGGGTTTAGGGGTTTAGGGCTTTTGGGAATCAGGGCTTTCAAGGTTCTGAAGTTTTGGGGTTCAGGGTTTCAGGGTTTCTGCTTCAGAATTTTCGGGTTTCAGGGGTAATCTCGTTTTCCACTGCGCGAATCGGTTGTTACTTATTTTGACCTTCGTACAAGCATAAGTTGTGATCGCTGATTTGTAGACAGACTCGGTCTCCGACAAGTCTCGTGGATTTGCTGCCCAGGAAGCGCATGACGCATGACGTGCCCGAGTCCACAGGCGTGTGGTCCCCATGGTTCAACTTGGGTGCGAAGACCGAAGGGGTAATCAGGCCCCTAGAAGGCACGTCGGAGTTCCTTCAGCCGAGAGCGACTGCCCCACAGGCAGGCACTCCGCAAAGAAGTTCAAGGCTGGGCAACCATGTCTTCGTATATCCGTGCCAGCTAGACCCAAAGTCATCGGTTTCTCAAAGCTTTCGTCGCAAGAAGAGCCGCCACGTTTCCAGTAGGGAGCCCTAGACCCTAGGCCGTGTGTTGTAATGCGAGGGCAGCACCGGAGAATCTGCCAGCAGCAGGAACTAAGACCTGGCTCCATCGCAAGAGTGTCCCGGTGATTTCTTTTGGGTGGCTGTTTTACTAACGTTGGGTTCTGGCGCTTCATGCCAAGTGAATGTTCCTCGCTCAGTTGTCTGCATTCATATGCAACCACTGCTACTATGGCTTGACTAGAAGCATGCCTGTGACTATTTTCTCACTAGTGCAGCATTCCAACGCCCATCCCATGCACTGCAGGGTGAGTCTCTCATCCGAGTAGTCCTGGAGAAACTCATGGAGTCTGACTCCCAGAGGGACTTGGCAAAGCGTGCCGTTCTGAATATACCCTGCAGAGCGTTTTGCCAGCGAGCTCTTTCTTGCATCATCCTGCAGCGCTTGAGGCATCCACACTGCTGCTTTGACAAAGCTTATTCTACAACTACAGCCAGCTGTGCTGTCCACACACCGAGGGTAACGTTCAATGAGCAGTGGTAATTGTCGGAGAACTAGCTCGAACTGGAAATCGGGTTTCTCCCTGGTGCTACGAAAACTCAGAGAGCGTCGGGCCTGGAGTTGGCCTGGAGAACTTGCTTTTTTTCTTTTGCACGTATGGCTCTCTGATCGAATGCCGGTGTATGAGAAAACGAGGCCACATACCCTGAATCTAGACTCGAAGTGCATCGTGAAACGGCGACATAAAAAGAGGCACATGGGTGGCCTCATCGTCGTCAAGGAGTTGGCGCCTCAATTCACAGCTGCACTCCTACGCTGCCAGTGGCCCACGGTATAGCGACATGTCTTGGGACACTATTTGTGGTCACCTGACGCTTGTCGCAGTTTCACCATGGAGCAGATCACCTGCTTGGCCGGAGGGCCGCGGCTTCGGCTGGAGCCGCGGACTTGGTCTGTTTCTTCGTGCACACGCTGCCTATTCGGCACTCTTAAACTAGGTCTCAATTGGGACATTTTCTCATTTACCTTACCGTTTAATTTATAGAGCCCTGATTATCTGAGATGAGGAGTTACAAGCAGAAACAAGCAGGCTGACGATTTCAGAGCCTTTCGCTGCCATGAGCCCGGGAGGTCCGTCTCGATTGGTTCACGCCCAGATCCTCAGCGGAAGGAGGGGGCTTGTGACAGACTCCTTTTCGTCCTTATGTCCCCAGCCTGTGGGCGTGTGGAGTCTAGCAGTCGGACGGCAAAAGAGAGTGAATCAGATGTGCACCCAGCAGGAAAAGACGAAGAAAGCACTCCTGGACACGCTTGTCGAGCTCGGTCTGGCGCCTGCCCTGCCGTCGACCAAGAACTTTCGAACCTGTGAGCCGAGAGACCGTGAAGTCTTTTCCATCAAGAAGCCTGTAGTCACTGTCTCTGTCCTGTCGAGGTGGGACTGCCTCAGTCGCCAGCGGCTGTACTTCATGTCTGAAGGCTTTTCAGAGGCCGGTTCCACAAGAAAGTAATCATGCGCAAGAAGGTGCGGAAGACGGTGCTCTTGTTTACCAAAGCAGGTCCACAGTGATGAAGGGTCGCTGAAGATCCTTTGCAAGCTCCTCGACGGGTGGGGCCGGCAGTGCTTTCTGTGGAAGAAGCCGGCGACCCTCGACACGAATCGCTAGTGTAACTAGTATGTCATCAGCGGAAGCTTTTTTCAGCACCTGGAAGTCTCTCAGAACTGACTCTCGCGATGGCAGGAACATGGAATGCTTCCTGAGCCTCGTGGACTTCTTGTCTCAGGCCTGACTTCAGCTATCCATGGCGTACATGTGGCTCGCCACATGACCCAAGGCCTCTGCGCGAGAAAAGTACGTGAAGCTGATGCCGAGCGTGCAACAGGCCTGGCTGTGGGTAGGGTCTTCTTAGCTCGAGGCCGCAAGGCATGCTACCGCAGTATGAAGTGTCCTGCAGCTTTGCTTGGAAAGCGCCCCTAAGAGCGGAGGCAATGTTCCTTGCAACTCCGACTCAATCCATTTCGGCCTGCTGCCTGCTTGAACCCACAAACAAAGATGGAGGAGTAGCCGTCGCTGCACTTTCAATTCTGCATTCTCTGTCGCAGCTCTTCGGTGTTCTCGAACCCAACGCAGCCTACGCGGCCCTCCGGCCCGGGTCGGGGTCTGAAAGCGAAAGTTCGGCGCAGCATGTTTTGCCGAGACGGCTGCAGCCTTCACGTCGACACGTCACACTTGTTCCGAAATGCTTCATCTGTTAGTTTCTGGTGTCTTCTGAGGTTGCCTCTCTTCGCCCGCGGCAAGAAGAAAACCGAAGAGGGCGGAAAGCCAGAAGCCCAGCAGCAGTTTCTAGAAACCATGCAAACGGAAGAGGTGAGCAAGGGCAGGTAGCTGCTGTGGCCATCGCAGGACCACGATGGTGGCAACCGCGGAGGAGACAGATCTGCAGAAGCTGCTGATGGATGCCAGGGCCACAGTGACCAGAGCAGAAAGAGCTGCCGGCACACCAGCCCCACGAGCAGACACTTGGGCAATGCAATACACCCTTCTTCTGGACTGAGATAGCGTTCAAGTGCTTGCCAAAGCCGATTGAGGCGAGCCGGTCGGAAATGTCGGTTTTGGAAGTTCCGGAAGACCAACATGATCTTACGAGGGCGAGCTTTAATAATCGGAAGTTGCTGCACCAGGTTCTCTTGTGTGGGGATAGCAACGGCAGGGCTGAATGGGCGCCAAATTGAGAGTTGGTCTCAGCCCCGGGTAGTACCTTTCGGATTCACCTGACCAAATATTCCCCAAGCCATGCGTCTACCCTGTGACGCTGCATTTCTTGGCTGGACGGACCTGGGCTTCTCAGGACTTCGACTGCAATTCGCAGCCCTTGTCAGGGGGTGCGGCGAACCCCCCAGCCACCGGAAATGCTCCTGGGCATTCCACTGTTCATCAGAGTACTTCCGTTGCAGGAGGATGGGCTCTCCATGGACTTCTACGTAACATTCTGGCGCCTGTCCTTGCAGGAGACTGCTCGCACCGCAGCGCAGCCAGACATTGCAAACATGATACGTGAGTTGCGAAAAGAGCCACGATGTTCAGGACATCTTTGTCCCCACCGAGGGCTACGAGAAAGTGCTGACCAGGATGTCGCAAGGCCCAGTCAGTGTCCTGGTCGCCGATCTTCCTCGATTCGACCTTTCCGAACCGCAAGCCCTTGTAAGCATCACAGAGCAACACACTGCCTGCAGGTCAGAAGACCTTGGAGGCCTGGAGATCCGGGCACCGGTTGGCATATCCCTGGCAGAGCGCATCTGACTCAGGAGTCAAAAGCCAAGCTCGATCGGAAGCACAACGTCGACACGCACAGTCGTGAGTACAAGGCGTGGCGCTGACAAGCGCAGATAGAGGGGCCTGAGCGTTTTGGAAGCTTTGCTTCGGAGTCACAGCACCTTGACAGGCTGTGCAACGGAATCTCGCTCGGCAGAAGGAAGCCTACGACAAGGTCAAAGAGGAGCAACTGAAGCAGAAGCTGAACTTTGAGCAGGCGGGCCGTGGCGGGCCGTGGCGGGCCTGCTGGGTGTGCTGCCTTGTAGCACCGTACAGTTAGCAGTGGGGGAAAATCCGTCTGCTCGCAGGTCCTGGCCCGGTTGGAGCAGGAGAAGTCCTTCTGGTCATTGCCTGATCTGCTTGACACCTGCACGGCAAAGGCAGAACCTGGAACCCCAAATCCTGCTTTTTCAGGTTTCTAAAGCACTGCCCAGAAGCCACTCAGACAATGGTGCGCCGTCGTCTTGAGATGATGATGGGGGGGCCGACACTGTTTGGTTAGACAGCATGTCCTGTACATGCCAGGTTGCCGAGATGATCCTTCCTCGAGCATTGACTTCGTATGCAGGCCAGACCAAGTAAGCTTGCTTACACCGATATCGTCGCTGCCTGACCCATGATAGCCTTTGAGTACATCCCCCCCTGTGCAGATGCTCTCTTCTGCTGCAAGTTCGCACGGCTTCTCATTCGGATGAAGACTCCGGGGTGTCTTGGCTGTCTTTGGTACAGGTGAAGCGGATGCTTTAACGACCCAGTCTTAATGTGTGCTCCGACAAGTGTGTTGCGAGAAGCCAGTTGGCAAAATGCAGGTGAAGATCCGTTTGGGTGCATCAGGTTGTCTTTTCCCGAAGCTTCTTCGAAGCAACAACAGAACTAGTCAGTCAGAACAGCAATAGTACGGCGGATGGAGGAAATCTTGCACCACCTACACACAGTGTTTCGAATACACATCCAAGCAACAACCCCGCGCCCCCTTTTTAACATTGACGACAGATTTCTTGGGGCGGTGCAAGATTTCTGTCATTGGAACGATTTTGCAAAACCCCATGTTCATAGCATTTCATAGCAATGTTAAGAAGGGGGCGAGGGGTGAAGCTACATAACATATCTTAAAAGCGGTGCAAGATTTCCTCCATCCACAGTCCCCGGAGCGGGGTCTAGCTTTGGCCTGCTCGTGGCTTTCCTACATGGCTTGCGGATACTTCCAGTCAGAACGTTACATAGAAGTCACAGTCACGAAAGCTAGCTCTGTTGAGCTTGCGGGAGTTGTCCTTTAGCAATTCACCTTGTATTAAGGCACTAGGGAAAAAGCAGGGTTTGCACCTTATCAGGTGGGACGTCCAAGAGTTCAGGTCGGGGGTGGGAGGGGAGGGGGTGCCGCCCCCCCCCCTCACCTCGTTCATGAAGCATCTTCGAAGGGTAAGGTGTAGCGCGCTCCCCCCTCCCTCCCCTCCCTCCTTGAAGGTTGCGGCGCGTGGCATGAGGTAGGGGGGGCCCTCCCCCCTACCCTCAAGTCTCTCCCCCCCCCCCGTGTGCGGCTTAAATGGGGTATTATCGCCAGCTGAAACTGTGGGTTTTCACGCCTATAGTATTTAATATAGACAGGCAGATGGCGATTATATCCTGGGTCTGTTCGGTGGATGGTCCCGGGCCCGAATTAAATAATTTAAATAATTTAAATAATTTAAATCCTGGGGAGGGGGTCTGGGGGGGGTTCCGGGGCCCCGGGACCCTCCCCCAGGATTTAAATTATTTAAATTATTTACACTATTTAATTTATTTAATTGGGGCCGGGAATTAAATAATTTAAAATTAACTTATTTAATTGGGGCCCGGAATTAAATAATTTAAATAATTTAAATAATTTAAATCCTGGGGAGGGGGTCTGGGGGGGGTTCCGGGGCCCCGGGACCCTCCCCCAGGATTTAAATTATTTAAATTATTTAAATTATTTACATTATTTAATTGGGGCCGGGAATTAAATAATTTAAATAACTTAAATCCGGGGGCCTCCCCCATATTTAAATTATTTAAATTATTTAATTGGGGCCGGGAATTAAATAATTTAAATAATTTAAATAATTTAAATAATTTAAATAATTTAAATCCTGGGGAGGGGGGTCTGGGGGGGGTTCCGGGGCCCCGGGACCCTCCCCCAGGATTTAAATTATTTAAATTATTTAAATTATTTAAATTATTTAATTGGGGCCGGGAATTAAATAATTTAAAATAATTTAAATAATTTAAATAATTTAAATCCTGGGGAGGGGGTCTGGGGGGGTTCCGGGGCCCCGGGACCCTCCCCCAGGATTTAAATTATTTAAATTTTTTTAATTATTTAAATTATTTAATTGGGGCCGGGAATTAAATAATTTAAATAATTTAAAGCATCGGGGGCCTCCCCCATATTTAAATTCTTTAAAGTATTTAATTGGGCCCGGGAATTAAATATTTTAAATAATTTAAATAATTTACTAATTTAAATAATTTAAATCCTGGGGAGGGGTCTGGGGGCGGGGTTCCGGGGCCCGGGGACCATCCCAAGGATTTAAATTATTAAATTATGAAATTTTTAAATTACTTTTTTTTTATTTATTAAAATTCTTTACTTGGGTCGCGAATTAAAATAATTCTAAATAATTAAAATCGGGGGCCTCTCCAATATTTAATTATTCAATTATTTAAATTGGGCCGGGATAAATAAATTTAAATTTAATTTAAATAATTTAAAGAATTTAAATCCTGGGGAGGGGGTCTGGGGTGGGGGTTTCGGGCCCCGGGACCCCCCAGGATTTATATTGTTTAACTTAATTGACTTTTGTTTGGCTCCGGGGAATTAAATAATTTATATAAGTTAAATAATTTAAATAATTTAAATCCTGGGGAGGGGGTCTGGGGGGGGTTCCGGGGCCCCGGGACCCTCCCCCAGGATTTAAATTATTTAAATTATTTAAATTATTTAAATTATTTAAATTATTTAATTGGGGCCGGGAATTAAATAATTTAAATAATTTAAATCCGGGGGCCTCCCCCATATTTAAATTATTTACATTATTTAATTGGGGCCGGGAATTAAATAATTTAAATAATTTAAATCCTGGGGAGGGGGTCTGGGGGGGGTTCCGGGGCCCCGGGACCCTCCCCCAGGATTTAAATTATTTAAATCATTTAAATTATTTAAATTATTTAAATTATTTAATTGGGGCCGGGAATTAAATAATTTAAATAATTTAAATAATTTAAATATTTTAAATCCTGGGGGAGGGGGTGTGGGCGGGGTCCGGGGCAGGGAGGTAAATAATTTAAATATGGGGGAACCCCCTGGATTTAAATTAATTAATTCCGGGGGTCCCGGCCCTTTTCCAGGATTTAAATTATTTAAATTACTTAAATGGGGCCGGGAAGTAAAACCCCACCTACCCTCCCTCACCCATCCCTGCCACCCACCGACCCTCAGCGCCCACCCAGCGTCCCAACCCCCACCCCCCCTTTCTCCCACTTCACACTCCCTCCACCTGCTGCCCACCCTACCTCCCAAACCCCCTCCCACCACCCTCTCACCCACCACTTCAAGGGCTAGGGATCCCACACATCTGCGGGCAAAATCTGGCGGAAGTGATCCGCCACCGAGCAAAAAGCCTGTAAACCAACAGATGTGCGAAATCCGTGGCCCTTTGTTTAATGCGGTATTTACAGGCTTTTTGCTCGGTGGCTGATCACTTCCGCCAGATTTTGCCCGCAGATGTGTGGGGTCCCTGGCCGTTGGTTTAACGCGGTATTTACAGGCTTTCTGCTCGGTCGCGGCTCGCAGGGATTAGGGGACACCCCTTGCGATTTGTGATTTTGGAACTTATTTGTTATAACAACCTTTAGGGGGAACACCACGACTTGCGATCTGTGATTTTGGGATCTGAGTTCTTACACAACCTTCCCTCCACCTCCTGCCCACCCTACCTCCCAAACACCCTCCCACCACCCTCTCACCCACCACTTCAAGGGCTAGGGATCCCACACATCTGCGGGCAAATTCTGGCGGAAGTGATCCGCCACCGAGCAAAAAGCCTGTCAATACCGCATTAAACAAAGGGCCAGGGATTTCGCACATCTGTTGGCAAAATCTGGCGGAAGTGAGCAGTCGGTACTTCCGCCAGAATTTGCCAACAGATGTGCGAAATCCGTGGCCCTTTGTTTAATTTGGTATTTACAGGCTTTTGGCTCGGTGGCGGATCACTTCCGCCAGATTTTGCCCGCAGATGTGTGGGATCCCTGGCCGTAGTTTTAACGCGGTATTTACAGGCTTTCTGCTCGCAGGGATTAGGAGGACACCCCTTGCGATTTGTGATTTTGGCACTTATTTGTTATAACAACCTTTAGGGGGACACCACTTGCGATCTGTGGTTTTCGGTTCTGAGTTTTCACAAAACCTTAGGGAGACACCCCTTGCGATCTGTGATTTCGGGATCTGAGTTCTTACAAAACCTTGGGGGGGGACACCCCTTGCGATTTGTGGCGTTGGAATTCATTTGTTATAAAAAGCTTTAGGGAAACACCCCTTGCGATTTATTGTTTTGGAACTTGTTGTTTCAACGAACCCTTAGGGGGATATCCCTTGCGATCTGGGTTTTTGGGATCTGAGTCTGTGCAAATCTTGGGGCGACACCCTTGTGAGCTGTGATTTTATCTGTGTTTTTGCAGAACTTCAAGGAAAAAGATTTCTTGCCGACGCAGGGGTAGATGGAGCTCTCTTGTCTTTGGTGAAGTTGAAGGGGCCTGTCTGCTGCGCTGAGATGGACCTCTCTCCCGTCTCATTACATGGGAGGAAGCTCTCAATCATTTCTTGTGGAGGATGAAGTAGAAGACTTTTCTTTTTGGAAGCAAGGGGAGCCCTGGCTTCTCTTGCTAGGAGCGAAGTCTCTTCAATCTTCTTAAGATAAAAGCGACTTACCAAGAGGTAAAGTCTCTCTCTGCTCAAATAAAGCTCTCGTCGCTTACCAAAATATCTTGGAGTGAGTTCTCTTCCTGCTTCACAGCAGGGTAAGGTAGAGGGCTTGGGCTTCTCGTTTCGTTTTGAAGGCCACGGGGAGGACTGGCTTTTCTCTTGTCAAAGTTTGAAATTTGGAAAAGTTCTATCCTTCCTTCCTGATCGTAAGCTCCCTTCCAAGTTTTTTTCTCGAGGAGGAGATGTTCAGGAGCTGTCGCTCCTGACGAACAGAGAAAGAAGTTTTCTTCTTATCGCCAGAGAGGCAGTCGGAGCTCCCTTCTTTCTCGTGATGCGTTGTTCTTTTGCCACGAACAACCTTTGGGGACTGTTTTCTTGCTTCGGAGCATGAGGTCTTTTCTTTTGAAGGCTGGCGACTGAGAAAGGTATAAGAAATCTCCTCTAGAGAAATCTGCTCTTGCCAAGAATAACTAGGAATGAGAACGCTCTGTCCTCACCTCTTGAGAGATATCTCTCTTCTATCCCTTGGAGAGGAAGTGGTGGCGACATGGAGAAGTTAGAAGGGTTTCTTTCTTGAGTCAGAGGGTGGGAGAGGGCTGCTCATGTCTTGTTGAAGGCTGAGGGGAGGATCGGACTCTTCTTTTGTCGATTGAGAGAGCTCTGTCCTCACTTCTTGAGAGCTATCTCTCTTCTATCCCTTGAGGAGGAAGAGGGGACGACAAGGAGCTCCTCTCTCTTCTTGTCGACGAAGAGGCAGCCGCAGTTC